CTTTTTGCTCACTTTTCTTAAAGGCGTAAAGTCTCGTTGTAATTTCGAAAGTAACGCCAGTCTCTCTCTCTCTCTCTCTTTCTCTTTTACTTTCTATAGTTATTCTTGCGGTAAAATAAAGAGAAAAAGAAAAAAAAAAAAAAGGAAAAGAAAAAAGCCAGCACCATAACCGCAAGGAGAGTAGTATTATGGTGTGGCTGGCTCGTGGACGACGATAGAATATGGAAGAGTGGTATGCAAATTTCTCGAAATGACGGTCGATGTTGGTGCAATGGCACTCTCGGATAAAGCTTTGCGAAAAGATGTGAGGACAATACACACCTATGTCTCTACGTTTGTCTCTATGTGTGTACGTGTGTATATGTATATATAATATAAAAGGGTCGCGTAAGGGTTATTGCAAACTAAAGAACGAGGAGTAAGATTCCTTGACTTGTCGTTGTTTGGTTTTGTTATTTTTTTCGGTGAGTGGAATGACACACCTGGAAAAAATGTATCCTACCTTTTTCTTGATGAAAGATTTTTTTTTCTTTTAAGATGATTAATATAATTATAATTGTAATAAAAAAAATTATAATTAATCGTTACGTTGAAAAAAGAATATTTTGTTATGTTATTGATTGAATTTCTTTTCTTTTCTTTTCTTTTTTCTTCGAATTATTAGAGAAATGATAGCGGATTTCTTGATAATTTGTGATGTAATTGAATAACGATTAATTATAAATTAAAATTGTCCGAGAATGATCGCGATCGTTTAAGATTGTTTGATTATGGGGGAAAGTATTATTAGAATAGAGAAAGAAAAAGACTTAGGAGGAGGGGTTGGTCTGGGCGTGAACCTAACGTCGCCGACTTGCAATTACTTATTTTAATAAAGAGTCACTAAATTGCAAAGCACTTTGCTAAAACGATTACCTACCGGGAAATTGCTTTTAGCGCCACAATTACGGCCTTCGCTAGCATCCCAGTTCGTGTCGCGTTACGAGAAAGAGAACTTTCAACGTTTCGGAAGATCCCCTACTATATACCCCATAGACTAAGAAGAAACTTTCTTTTTCTATAATATATCTTGTGTTTTACATTAAAAAGAAAAGAAAGAGAGAGAGAGAAAAAAAAAGAACTAGGTACTTTAACGTAACACTCAATTATTCACGATTGAATTTTTTTTTCATTACGAACACTATTATTATCTCGTCTAATTGAATATATTATCCAAAACTATTATACATCATTTTATTCGAACAAATTTTATACAAATTCTCAATATAATTCGTATTCGTAAATAAATAAATAAAGAATAATAATAGGACTTCTCTAGAATCTGTAAAAAAAAAAATAAAAAGAAAAAAATAACACATACACGTACATACATATATACACGAAAATATATAACAAACAGTGAGAAATAATTCCACGTGTGTATGATACTTATGAAAAAGTGGTATATACCCCATATTATGAGAGTAGCAAGTTGAGATCGGTGGTGGAGGGCTTGATAGAGATCGGTATAGGTAGAAAAAAAAAAGAAAAAGAGAGAGAAAAACATATATATATATATATAAAGAGAGTAGAACTAGAATGAGCAGGAAATGTGACTGGGATGCCGTGAAGCGAATCAAACGATTTCACGCTCTAGATTCTGAGACTCTTTGCATGAACCGGTACAGAGGATAGGTGTGGGTGGGAAAGGTAGGGAAAGGGGGTGGGATGTATAGTAAGTAAAAAAAGAGAGAAAAAGAAAGAGAGTGAGTTAGATAGGTAGATATAGCTAGCTGGCTAGCTAGCTAGATAGTTGGATAGTTAGATAGGTAAAAGTACTTCTGTCTCACTCACTCGCTCGCTCACTTATTCTCACACAGACACACACACAGACAGACTTTTCTCCTTTTTCCTAACATTTTTTTCTTCCACTTTTCCTCTCCGACTCTTCCTCTTGGTGTTCCGTGAAATGCCACTAAGAAAAGGACGCAAAAGTGCGGCCATTTGGCTAGTTGTTCCGCGAAAAAAGGCTAGAGAATCTATTTCTTTTGCCTTTTTTTTCGGCTCATCGAAAGGAAGTCGAGTGCTCCTAACCGACAATTCTCATCCATTTTTTTCCTCCCTTTTTCTTTTTCTTTTTTTTTTTTTCTAAAAGGGAAATAAGAGGACCCTAATGTTCGACAAATCGTCCAACAATTATCTACACTCTAATCTATCTGACGTTAGAGATTTTTGCGAAAGATGAAAGAAGTGTTTCCCGTTGTTAGTCACCATTTTTTTTTCTTTTTTCTTTTTTTTTTATATAACGAGACACCATTATTTAATACTCGAGAAAAATATTCGTCGATGATCACGTTATCATATATTTTACACCGTTCTGTCATTAACAAACAATTATATAATTTTTTTTTCTTTTCTTTTTGTTTTTTACGTTATACACTATAATATCCGAAAGAGTAGCCATTTTGTCGGAAATAGCCCCTACTAATTATGATACTACAGATAATACCAAACGGTATACATATATCCTACGTTCTTATCTTCTCATGTTTCATTTTGTATATATATATATTTTAGTTAAAGAGAGAGAGAGAGAGAGAGAGAGAGAGAGAGAGAGAGAGAGAGAGAGAGAGAGAGAAGTTTAACCCTCACGGTAATTAACACTATGGCGTAGAGGCTTCCAAGAAGAGAGCTTATATCAGCAACGTGGTTCAAAGGTTTCGTTTAAGATCACCAAGGATTAATGTTTAATCTTAATGTACACATTCCCCTAAACGTGTGCTCTTGTCACCCCCATAACTCACCCTCCGACCACCTATCTTTCCCTACCCCCTTCAAGATACCAACAGAGGTAGAAAGTAAGATAGAGAGAAGAGAATTTGACTATTAACACTGCACACATACACATATACTTTTCTATCCTCCTTCCACCATTTTCATCTACACATACACACATATATAATATCGTATATATATATAGATATAGAGAAGATTTAAGTATTAAATACATACATATATACAAACGTATATGTATATATATGTATTATATTTATATATATATATATATATATATAGAGAGAGAGAGAGAGAGAAGACCATATTTGCAATAGTAAAATACTGTCGTGCAAACACAGCTGCGCGTTTCGCTTGAGCGCTTCCTATGGCTTAATGACGCTCCTGGCAGTTTACCTTCTCTCTATTTACACAACGACTAATTAGTAAATATATCACTTATTTGCAGTTTATGACTTAATTGAGTGCTAAATGATTCGTCGTCTAAATTCGACCACCGACTTCTATCAATTTTTACGTTTCCTTTCATCGTTTAATATCATTTTTATTCATTTATCAATCACATTTTTATTGATATTTTATTTATTCATTGGAAAATATATGATTAAGAGATAAATATAAAATAAAATATAAGATAAATATATTGGAGAGAATATAATAATAATAATAATAATATATTTTATAAGAGTCGAGATTGAACGAATACGAAACGTAACAAATCAAACCCACGATGCAACTATTTTTCCGTATTATTTTCTGAAAGAATGAGGTTGCATAAAAGAAGTTCGATTAACGAACAAAAAAAAATAAGAAAAAACAAATGTGTATCCGAGAAAATATCGACATCAGCATATTTTTCTTGTAAGCGCCTTACTAGTTTACATATATATTTATATATATGTATGCATCCATACGCAAACTCACATTCGCACACTTTACGAGAGAACATCTTCTATAAAGTCTCTCTTCCGTATCTACAAACACACATAAACGAAGTTGCACAGATGGATATATATATATATATATATATATA